CAGTCAACGACTGGAAGGACGTCCTGTCAGGAGGAGAGAAGCAGCGTATGGGAATGGCTCGCATGTTCTACCACAAGTGAGCCCCTAAACACAAACAAGCTGTGGATGAGGTCACATGACTCTCAACCGGTCACGCATGTCACCTAGGCCCAGCTACGCTCTGCTGGATGAATGCACCAGCGCCGTGAGTATCGACGTGGAAGGCAGCATCTTCCAGGCTGCAAAGGAGGCTGGGATATCCCTGCTCTCAATCACCCATAGACCCTCCCTCTGGTCAGAATAAAAGCGATCACAAAGAGAATCAATGTAGACAACGTCATGACGTAAATGCGTGAGCGAATCGCGTCAAATAACAACCTGGAACAGCCAATGACATGTTGCATAATACAGAATAAATTAGGCATTTATTTTATTTTCAATACTGGTTGGATTTTTTCCTTGTGCGCAGCTCAGATAGTTTGTGCGCAGACACGAAGGGGGCAGTGCGCATTTGCTCACAAACCATGCTTAGAGGGAACAGTGATTACAATATGTATATTTTAAAAATACATATTTTAATTATTATTATTATTTGTCAAAGTCAGTGATCTCCCACCATAGAATCAACACATTTAAAATACACCCCACACTAAAGAACCTCATTAAATGTTATCTCTACCAGCGGTGGCTGCAAATTTTCCATTTTGCCTTTAAATTGTCGAAAGCATATTGGAAAGGGAAATCAATTCATCACTGATTAAAAATAATAATAATAATAATAATCATCATCATCATAAAAAAAGCTAATTGTTTTTAGAATCAGTAGTCAGGGCTGTGGTAAATGAGTCGTATAATTGATTTCTCTGAAAAATTAGTCCGTGTTTTCGCCAAACAATTATCCCATTTCCACAAAATGGATCAACCACAATCTTCTACAATCCACATCCTCCTGCTGTCTTCCAGCCAATAATATAACGTGACATCATCACCGGGCGCAGTCGATCGAGTGATCGTGATAGACTCCAATGGTTTCTTCGAAGATTCCATTCATTTACTCTTGATATTATTTCTTTGTCTTTTTTATCGCTCTGTGAATGTTCGTGGTAATGTGCAAGAATGTGCGGTGCAAAGGTTACATATAACAACCGATTGTCATTTCATCTGATCTGTCAAACTAGAGCACACGTCCCGTTGGTATGTAGCCTTCAACTAACTCAGATTGTTGTGCAGTTGTTGCTATTTCTTTCCATTTTCTTATCACTCTGCAGTTAGGGCGGCCCACCGAGGGGCCCTCTGTCATCTGTCAAAACCTTCAACTATGCTGATGCACGTCGTCAGCTGAGTACATGTGTGAACATGTTATACATCTTTTAAAAGCTGAGTTTCTGGAGATTTGACTGGTGCCCAACATTTTACAATTGTCAAATTTGAACTGGAACTTGGAGAGACCTCAAGCTTAGATCCTGTAGTGTTTTCAAGTCCTAATCAACATTCTAAATTCATTTTCAAGACAGATTTTGTGAAAAGAAATTAGACGAACATAAGATTTGCCTTTTCTTTCTGTTTTCAAACATCCATAGTTCAGTGACAGGAGCACTTACACAGATTCTGACTGTTTGGGAGAAATATTCAAAATGATAACATTTTGAATATTTCAAAAAGAGACCAAAACTATGCTGATACTCCAAATGGTTCATGAACAGCTACAAATTTACTTTGGGTGCACCTTTTTCCAGGCGTGTTCAGCAAAGTTGCCCTCAGCCTAAGGGGTTTTTAATCTTAGCATCTACTATTGTGTTCGTGTCAGAACCAGAAACTAATGAGTATTACGCCAGAAGTTTATATAACTTGGGAATCGCGGACGCTCGAGCACAGTTACGCATTAACCTTATGCGTAACCGTGCTTGATTCCCAAGTTATATAAACGCATGGTTACGCATTAAGGTGCTCACGTGATCGATCGTTACCAAAGGAAGTGCCTGATGTTTTCCATGCAACTACCGTATCAACAGTGGTGTCGTGGATGTTTTTATAATTGCTGCATGAACTACAAAGTATTTATTGAAGTCTGTGTGTGAGCAATTTTGTCAGGAGCGTGTGCCCAGAGTTTCCGTTGACATGAGGCAGAGAGCCGCTTTCAGGGATGAGAGTTTTCCGCTTTTTGGCGGAATATACGTGTTTGCATGTGGGGCAAACCAGTGACTCGCTGCATTTGTTTGTGCCAGGTTGGGAGTCAGTCAACGACTGGAAGGACGTCCTGTCAGGAGGAGAGAAGCAGCGTATGGGAATGGCTCGCATGTTCTACCACAAGTGAGCCCCTAAACACAAACAAGCTGTGGATGAGGTCACATGACTCTCAACCGGTCACGCATGTCACCTAGGCCCAGCTACGCTCTGCTGGATGAATGCACCAGCGCCGTGAGTATCGACGTGGAAGGCAGCATCTTCCAGGCTGCAAAGGAGGCTGGGATATCCCTGCTCTCAATCACCCATAGACCCTCCCTCTGGTCAGAATAAAAGCGATCACAAAGAGAATCAATGTAGATTCCAGCCATCAGGGAGCAGCAGATCTCCAGGCAGCTGGTTGAGGCCATGTGGTAACACTTCCTCTCCCTCCAACAGGAAGTACCACTCTCACATCCTGCAGTTCGATGGCGAAGGCGGCTGGCGCTTTGAGCGTCTGGACGCAACCACTCGTTTGTCTCTGCAGGTCAGTGTGTGCTTCCTCTTCAAACAGTATCAGCTTTTTGCCGATGGACATAAGTAGGAAGTAACGCCCACAAGTTTGCGCTTGGTGCGGGGGAGCTTATCTTTGGTGACTTTGTTGTTACTATCATAACAAGTTCTGCCCATCACCCAGGAAGAAAAGCGGCGTCTGGAGAGCCAGCTGTCAGGAATCCCCAAGATGCAGCAGCGTCTGTCTGAGCTCTATGTCCTGCTGGGGGAGGGGCATCGTGAGGCCCCACCCAACCAGCACGCTGCTCTCTCCTGAGATATCCCATGCATAGGATGATGGGTAAGTCAATTAATTTGATATGCTCTCTGATCTAAGAAAACAGTGTGCACTCACGTCACGGCCCATTATTTTCATGTTTAGAATTTAGGCCTGGTACACAAAAGACTTCAAATCTTGAAGATGTTTTTATCTACGGCAGACCGTACTTATAAAGATAAAAATCGGAAATTTCGTTTTGGTGGTATTGTGTGTGGGGTGCTACATTCCATCATATCACAGTCTGCCGTCAACTAGCTCGTGAGATCTCTGCCCCCCCATAAATATTTTTGGTTGTAAATTTTGAACACATTATTTAACACTGTCCACCCGACTCATTTTGGACCCATTTATTGGGACACATCCACTGTGAACAGACCTTAGGCATACGGATGATCTTAATCGGGAAGGGGCAAAATCTGCACAAGAGCTTGATTGTTTTTATGTGTGTACCCAGCCAGCCTGAATAGACTCCATCTGTGTGAATATGAGCTGTAATCAGTGTCAATTGCTTTGATCAACTATCCTCTCTCTCTTCAGGGCCTTCACGAGACTCTACCGTACGTGACGAAGGATTGTTTTTCAACAAGACAACTTGAGTATTTGTGTTTAAAAATGTTTTTAAAAAATCCAACCAGCTTCCTGGTGACTACCTTTATTTTTAGAAGCTTTTCAAAATAAAAGTTTGCGAAGGGACATTGATTGACAACTAGACTCACCTTTCATGTTGCCTCCCGCGCATATTCCCTACATGCATACCTAACATATGTTGACTGGACATCTCCGACTCATGCATATGTAACATGAAAATCCAAAATGTTCCCTGCACATTGCTTGATAGAACAACAAACTACAGAACTACCAACTGTCACCCAATTTATGACACTACTTTAATCTGTACATCACAAAATATCATGGCTACCCCCAATTTCTTGTCGCATCTTTCAAGCGTACTAAACATCAGCACTGTAATTTAAATCAGTGGTCCCCACCATTTGGTACCGGGCCACACAGAGACAGACCAACCCCCTCCCTACCCTCATGGATTACCTTCCAAAGGGATAAATAGGGGTGGGTGATTATATGGTTGAGAATTATGATATTATGTGCTCAGCTGTGAGCATGTTAGAGTTAACATCAGAAGGTGGAAATGTGTGTGACTGCAGCCAAATAGAGTCCAGCTTTTTCTTCTTTAAATTTGGTAGTAAGTAAATAGAATCCACCAATATATGAAATAAGCAGTAAACAGGAAGTCAAAGTAACTATCACTGAATGTGCAGCTAAACACAAAGTTGATGGGCTGCCATGACTTGATGGGCAGCATCATCTTCCTTACATGAAGCAAATTGGAAAATAATTTTCTACTAATGGCTTTGGTGGCGGCATCTCCAAAGTGATGTGGGAGAGGAATACATTGTGCAAGGTATGTCATCAAAAACAAGGCAACACAACAAACCTGTTGAATCATTTGAACACGAAGCACTGTCCACGTAAACATAAGCAATTTAGCTGCTCGGAACAAGCCTGCAGCCATGGTCTTACAAATAATGTTAAAATGAAACAGAATATAAGCAGGGATGAGACTTTTCCGCTTTTTGGCGGAATTCCGCTTTTTTCCAGTCAAAATGGACCTTTTTTATATTGTTCCAAATCTGTTGAGAAAATTTTAAGGGGGTGGGGGGGGGGCTAGATGTTATTTCTGGGCTGACAGACTTTCTTGTCTTCGGCAGACTCGGGACTCGTAATGTTTACAAATAAAGTTTGCAAGCATCCATTTTGAATACCGTTTTTTTGTTCTCGCAAAGCAGAATACCGTTTTTTCTCGCGAAGCGTTAGTTTGTCGATACTTCGTAAATGGGCTAAAACCAATGTTTTACTTGTTGTGATTGGTCGGTATATTGGCAAATTCAGAATCACAACCGATCCGTGTTCGCCTTCCTAAACCCCTTTCCGCGAATTCTGAATGGTTTTGCATGAGGGAAGTAGTGTATTGAAATTTCTCGTGTATGTAGTCTGTATTAAACAAATGCCGAATGTTATCGAGACTCGTGATGAAACTAACGTGCGTCAGATAGAAGTGGATCTGAAAAACAAGTTTCGATAGGACTAGTTGAATAGAAAGCTGACGGTGTCCCCAGTAGGAACCAGTATAGGGGAACCATTGTCTGTTCTTGTGTTGGATTTCGTGAAAAAGTTCGATGTCGCTGGTAAAGCTCTGTGTACAGTGTGTGACGATGTCATTCTATATGGATCGAGAGGATGGAAAGCTTTACAGAGTCACGCAACCTCTGTGAAACACCGAAAACAGACATTTCTACTGAAAAGTAACTACTCGATCTCAAGCGCTTTTTGACAGCCTGCTCGGCTGGAGCATGTGAAAAAACAAGAATTGGCTAAAAAGAGAGTGAAAAAGACGGAGAGAACCAACAAGCTTTTAGCTCTTGCTAAAAAGCTTAAAATGAAGAGAAAATAAACATTCTACATCGTGAAACTGTACATCGTTGTCTATACTGTAAATAGACATCCACTTTATAGGATAATATGTATTCATAACCCATATATAGTAAACAATTTGGGACTGCACTATCACTCTATGAGGTAAGAATCAACAGCTTTTTATCACATTTACACAACATTTTATGAATACAAGTAATGAACAAATCTTAAATATGGCAGGGAATTTGTTTCCTTTTTTAGTTTCGATTTTGAGCAGCAAATTTGATGTTACATGTTGGTGCTCACCAGGAATGCATAAGCAGATTGCACAAAGGCCTATGTCAAATTTTCACTTGAAAGAATAGTGAACAATCTTGGAATTTTTTTCTGTGAAAGTTTCAAGTAGTGTGTACATTGAATACGCTTCATCTTTAGTATGTTTAGTATAAAGTGCCAATTTTGTAACCAAATAGGGAATGGTATTTCAACAAAAATTGTAAAATTTTGTTGATAAAATTAATGTTTTAAGGCTTTAAAATCTCTAAAACCCATTAGCTTCCAGGGGCTTTGCCCTCTGGGCCCCCATCCGGGCCGTTGCCCCTGGACCCCACTGTGGGCCCGCGGCCCCGAGATCCCCGGCTGATTTTCAGATTTTTTTTCATCACTAGCCACTCTCATCCCTGTATAAGGGAAAAGCAGGTTGCCACTTGTTTCGTTCATGGTGGTACAGATATTAAGATCAATCGAAGCATAGCTAAGAAGCAGGTTGCAAAACGCAATTTTCATTTATGGTCTTACAAATAAAATTAAAAATATATATAACTGTAAAGCAGGTAACCTCTTGGTTTTTTCGATTATGGTCTTACAAATAATGTAAATTAGGGAACAAGACAGTAAAAAGCAGGTTGCTACAGGCTACTGCATAGAGCAAGAGCATTGGATTGTTTGGGGTTTTTTGGGTTTGTTTTGTAATTTCTTACTCGAAAAATTTTAGCAGAAAGTGATTTTTAGCAGCTTTGATTTCTCCATCAAGACAGTTCCATAGATTTACACCACATCTTGTAACACACATATTCTTCAGAGCAATTCTGGAGTACATGTCTTTTTTTTAATTCCGTTTTTCCGTAAGGTTGTACATTCCTTCTCTTTTGCTGAACATCCATCCATCCATTTTCTTTATCCTTACTTGGGTCACGGGCGGTGCTGGAGCCAATCCCAGCCGTCTTCAGGCAGTAGGCGGGGGACACCCTGAACCGATTGCCAGCCAATCGCAGGGCACACACAGACGAACAACCATCCACGCTCACACTCACCTAGGGACAATTTAGAGTGTTCAATCAGCCTGCCATGCATGTTTTTAGAATGTGGGAGGAAACTGGAGTACCCGGAGAAAACCTCCACACAGGGAGGCTGGAGCTGGAATTGAACCTCTGCACTGTGAGGTCGACGCGTTAATCACTGGCGCACCGGGCCACCTTGTGCTCAACATTTTTTGAAAATTTACCAAAAGTAAATTTTTGTGTATTTTGAACATGACCTGATTTGTTTTAAATTCCACAACGTCCTTCAACTTTAGAATTTTAGACTGAAGAAAAAAGACATTTGTATGATCACAATATCCTCCAAGGTGATAATTCGTATTTTTTTTTTTTTTGCATTGCGTATAATGCTTCAATATTACTCTTATATGAATTCCCCCATGCCTCTACACAACAGGGTTAAGTGAGGTAAAATAAGAACAATGTATTTTCAATATAACGCTTTCTGATCAAGATACTATTTGGATTTATTCATTAAGGCTACAGTCATGGCCGTTTTGGTTTTGATCTTGCTAATTTGTGTTTTCCAAGAGATGTTATGGTCAACACTTATCCCCTCGAATGTGTGTTCATAAACTGTTGCGTGTTGCGATTTTCATGTTATTGATCGTATGTCTATGTATGTTTACGTGACGTTTTCCAAAGAACAAACTTAGTCTTTTGTGTATTTAGTGAGAATACATTTCTTGTAAACCAGTTTTTGAAGCTTACATATTTCATTTGTAATCTCAATCATAGGTTTTTCAAGATTTTTACCTGATTACAAAATTATAGTGTCTTCCTCAAAAAGGACAAACTTGAATTTTACAAAATGTTAGTGTCTTCCTCAAAAAGGACAAACTTGATTTTTTCAGACGCCAAGTATAAGTCATTGATGTATGTAAAGTATGCCATTTTTAAATGACTAAAAGATTTGGCTTCGCCATGACCACAAAAGCTGCTGTAACTTGACCCATGAGGATCATATACTGTATTGTCGAAATTTCACACATTTGACGAGTGTGCAGACCTAAAGACGTCCACAAACTTATTTTTCATCATCTTGCTTGCGCTTGTTTTTTTTCCAAGTGCTTTAACCAGTTCCTGTGTCATATTTGGTTAGAAGTGTTTAGGCTTTCATGTTTGTGATTTTTCTGAAATGCTGTCGCCGTGGCAAAATGCTGTTTTCCAAGAAAACAATTCATTTGTAAGCGTGGACCACACAAGAGAGCATCCATCAACCTCAACTTCAATTTTAATATTTTAAAGTTGTCACAAACAAAGAAAACAGAATTGTTCTGTAGCGCCACCTAAAGTGGAAAAAAAATAAATCCAATTCAGTACGGTTGACCTAAGCCTAAAAAAAATTGGTATGCATGTCTGGCACCCCAGAATACTGGGCAGAATACTTTGAAGACCTCTTCACCTCCACCAACACGCCTTTTTTCGAGGAAGCAGAATCTGGGAACTCTGAGGTGAGCTCTTCCAACTCTGGGGTTGAAATTACTGAAGTAGTTAAAAAAGCTCCTCAGTGGATGAGATTCGCCCGGAGTTCCTCGTGGCTCTGGATGTTGTGGGACTGTCCTGGTTGACACGCCTCTGCAACATCGCATGGTCATCAGGGAGAGTGAGTATTGGCAGACTGGGGTGGTGGTCCCTCTTTTTAAGAAGGGGGACCTAAGAGTGTGCTCCGACTACAGAGTGCTCACACTCCTCAGCCTCCCTGGTAAGATCTATTCAGTGGTGCTGGAGAGGTGGGTCCGTCAGGAAGTCGAGTCTCAGATTCAGGAGGAGCAGTGTGTTTTTTGTCCCAGCCGTGGAACAGTGGACAGACTCTTAACCCTTGGCAGGGTGGTCCTCAAGCGTGCATGGGAGATTTGGTATGTGGTACCGAATCAGAACAGCCGCTATCAAGAGATTCAGTACCACATACCAAATCTCCTGATACCGGCTGTTCTGTCCCTATACCACAGACGTCAAGAGTTTGGTTCGCGTCGCTGGCAGTGTCGGTAGTAGTGCCAGAGTTTCCAGTGAGCGTTGGACTCTGGAAAGGCTGCCCTTTGTCACAGATTATTTTCATAACCTTGATGGACAGAATTTCTAGGCGCAGCCCAGGTGTTGAGGGGTCTGGTTTCGAGGTAAGATCTAAAGCCCGGGCCTAAAATGTCGATCAATCAGGGATGAGATTTTTCCGCTTTTTGGCGGAATTCCACTTTTTTTCCTCTCAAAATGGACCTATTTTATATTGTTCCAAATCCGGAAAAAAATTCTCTTTCCGGACTTGTCTTCGGCAGATTCGGGTCTCGTAATGTTTACAAGTAACGTTTGCAAGCATCCACTTTGAATCCCGTTTTTTTATCGCGAAGCGTTAGTATTCTGCCCCCAGTAATTGTATTACAGTGCAGTGCAGTGCCCCTAGTGATGGAAGTATTGCATGACAGTTTAGTACAGTGCCCCTAGTGGTGGAAGTGGTTAGCCCCGCCCATAGAGTCAGCGGGGTAGCCATTTTGATTCATAAGAGTGAAACCATGTGCAGAGGTGTGATAACATCCACTTCCATCCTCGTTCTTTTGGCACATTCAGGCACAATCTGTAAGTACATTTACCCAGTTGTATATACCACTCTTAGCTGAGCAAGTTATTCATCGTCATATATAAGTATTTCACCAATTAATCTTTGTAGGTATTTACCATAGATGTGTTGAAAATGTTAGAGAATAGGGGTGTTATAAGAGTGTCGAATATCATTTCATATGTATAATTGGACATTATACAAACATTTGTATTGTGTTTCTATTTGTGTACAGTTTTACAAGAAAGACTCCATAAAAATACCAAACGTTGGATTCTCATCTCCGTGTTTTTATTGGAGGATTGTTTAGCTCGCTGTCTACGCCGTGCTCTCATCTCAAACGCATGGCAAGGGCAGAAGAGTTAGTTTGTCGTTACTTCCTATATGGGCTAAAACCAATGTCTTACTTGTTGTGATTGGTCGCTATATCGGCAAATGCAAATCACAACCAATCCGTGTTCGCCTTCCTAAACCCCTTTCTCGCGAATGCCGAATGTTATCGAGACTCACGACGAAGCTAAAGTGCGTCAGATAGATGCGGATCTGAAAAACAGTTGCGATGGGACTGGTCGGATAGAAAGCTGACGGTGTCCCCAGTAGGAAACAGTAAAGAGGAACCATTGTGCTTGTGCCGGATTTCGTGAAAAAGCTCGATGTCGCCGGTAAAGCTGTCAGGTTTATCCAATTTGACACCATTCTATACGGATCGAGAGGATGGAAAGC